AGTTTGATACCTCCACGTGTTCCTGAGAAAAATGGTCTTGACAGAAGGACGGACGGACAACAAAGTGATTCTATAAGGGTCCGCTTTTTCCTTTTGAGGTACGGAACCGTAAAAATCAATTAAAACAAAATACCGAGCTTAGAATCGACCCACCGAGCAGTTGCTTTTGATACAAAGACCATTATTGTTCGGCTATTTGTCTTTTAAGATAAATGATAAAATTACGGATACCTATTTTGTGTCAAATACTCTAGTTTCATTAAATCTCAAATCACAACGATGCTAAAGAAGTTTTCACTTCCAAAAATTAAAACACAAACTAAATACCAAGCTAAAACTCGAAACATACTTCTATAAATTTGTATTGTGCGGTAAGATATTAACGTGTCGTGTCGTGGCGCGCCAGAAGCACATCGGTTTCATACATTTACTATGGTTAGAGACATATTTACGTGTCCTGTCGTGTTGACGCTCTTTATGGCTCTGTCTCTCTCTAACCCATAATAAAATTATAAAACCTGGCTTAAGCCAGAAACATATTAATATGTCGTGGCGTGTCGGTTTTATACATTTATTATGGGTTAGAGAGAGACAGAGATAGATAAGAGCGTCTCAAGACGGCAGGACTCGTAAATATGTCTCTTAGCAAAGTAAATGTATGAAACCGATGCGCTTCTGACGTACGATGTGCACTAAGATTTGATACTATGTCTAGGATTGAGACGCTATAATGCCCAGAGAAACTTTAGGCGGCAACTTTAAAATGAAAAACAAAAATAGTTTTTTTAATGAAATACACAACAGAATCATGAATATCCAGTTATGATGGACACTGTATATATTAGTAAATAACGTGAGATCGTTTTCTAAAACTTTTCAAATACCCTATTACAGCTTTGTTGATTATTTATGCTAGATCTAGCAGCAAGATGGATTATGCGTAGAGAACTTCAGAGACAAAAATGGTCGGATATCGGAGATTTGCGTAGCATTGTGTACGAAGGGTCTAAATACGTGCCAAAAATATTGCGTGCCTTTCTCGGAATCCTCGCATATTCTAGAGAATCCCTTTAGCTTTGGGCTAGTATTTAATTTCTTTCGTTTGTTTGTATCTTTTTTTGTTCCTATTTAATGAACTTTATATCAGTTGTATAAACAATTGACATAAAGTTCATTTTGCTATGCTTTCGTTGCAATAAAATTTCTTTCCATTCCATTCCGCGGCAGTATGAATTGTGTCTTAAAGTATCCCACTAAGTTGTATTTGTAGTTGACACATAGTTGACACAAACGGTTACGAAATGAAACCTTTCTTAAAAGTTTAATTTTTTTATAATTTATGGAAGATTTTTTTCCTCTAGCCACCCCTTTCGCCAAATGACGATAAAAATATCCTGTGTCCTTTCCCGGGACTCAAACTATCTTTCTAACAAGATAATACCCCTTCCACACGACACAATTTGATTGCCAATCTGATTGCCGATTGAATTGGGTACAATCTGGTCGTCCGTCTACACATACACAACAAAATCGCCAATTTCAGATTTATTTGTTGCCTCTGCTGAACGGACTTGTTTGAATTAGGATGCCTCTTACCAAGAAGCAAAAAATTGGATTAATCTTGGCTCTCACTACAAATGTAGATGAGAAAAAAAGAACAAGATGACTGTGCACAAAACAATAGTTATTAAAAAGAAAGCAATTGAGGCACTTAATTGTAGTTATATTATATTTAAGTGACTCAATTAATAAACTTAAATAAAGTTATACTAATAGAGTAATATTTTTAAAGAAAATATAACTAGAAAAAATTCCACGCGGACCAGGCAGCAGACGGGACTCGAACCCGCACCCTTCGAAAAACCCTTAAAATATAACTGAGTTATATTTTCTTTAGATTTAAACATCAAGCAGTTACATGCTTTAAAAATAATAAATATTGGTGTCGATTCTGGCGTGATTCTCTAAACTTAAAACTAAATTTGACATCAGTCTCTCCTTTTTATTCTGTAAAGAGAGCGAAAAGGATGCACTGTTGTCAAATTTAAGTTTAGCTTTAGAGAATCTTGCCAGAATCGACATCAGTATAACTATAATTGCTATTTCTTCTTTCAAATGTTTAATACTTGTAAAAGTATTCATTTGACATTGTGGGTTACCTATAATGCGAAGAGATGGCTCTGCCTTGCAACTTAAGAATGGCTGGAAGAATTTCGACGCGGTCCGTGAGGGCCGCGGTAGCATAATTGGTCAGTGCATTCGCCCGGATTGCGAAGGGTGCGGGTTCGAGTCCCGTCTGCTGCCTGGTCAGCGTGGATTTTTTTCTAGTTATATTTTCATTAGATTTAAACATCAAGCAATTACATCCTTAAAAAATAAAAATTTTAAAAAAATATATATAATATTATTTCTTTTTTACCCCAGCATGCGCGCATATCATTGAGTAGATATAAATTTATTTAAATGATTTTTTATTTTCAATAACAAATAACTGCCTGGTCCGCGTGGAATTTTTTCTAGTTATATTTTCTTTAGATTCAAACATCAAGCAGTTAGATGCTTTAAAAATAATAAAAATTACAACAGTAATATTTTTATCAATATTTTTCCACTTATTCCGCAAAATCTCTAAGGAATTATAATATTACCTTGCTTGTTTATTTTTATATAATGGGTTAGACACATCCCAAAGGCATGGCAAGTCTTTACATAAATCTAAAATCTCCTCCATTACTTCCCGTTCAGATTGAATAGACATAATATTGTCGTCATGTTGCTCCATCTTCTCAAAAGACAAGTCAACGCACAAACCCGCTCTGAACGCCACTTGCACAGTGACTACGTTAAAAAATTGGCCAGTTAGCGTCCACACCACCCAATTTGATTGGGCAATCCCAAATCGGGTGATACCGACCATCCAATGACCTTCAATTTCATATTTCCGTCCACACAACACAATTCGATTGTCAATCTAATCAAATTGGACGTAAAATTGTATCGTGTGGAAGCCATTTAAGAAAGACATGAAGTTAGAGCCGTAAAAATCAATATTAAAAAAAAAGAGAAAAAAGCAAATGTCATTGATGGCGTCTGGCGTCCGTTTGAAATATGCGTTGTTTGTGTTTAAAATTTTGAATTATCTTCATAAATAAATCTATTTTCTTTTTTGTTATACTTAACTTTACGTGAACAAAAATTATAATAATGGAAAATACGACAAATGAATGTGAAACTAACCAGTCTTTTCGCTCACCACCTCGGCGAAGAAGATCCACTTTTTTTGAGAGGAGGGAATCTTTCGGTAAGCCTTTTCTGAAAGAAGATAAACTATTTCTGTAAACTGTTACCTGCCTACGGAACCTGTTAAATTTTCTGTTGTTATATTGGTATTTAATCGTATTATATCTTTATTTTCAGTACCACAAAGTCTTAAAAATATTGACCCTAACATCCCTTTAAAAATGACAGAAAATGAAAGACACAGTCCAGATCTGTTGGTGTAAGGATAGTTTAATTAATTGTTGTGTACTTTCCCTTAAATTATTCATAATTTACTTACAAAAACACTTATTCTTTTAGATATCATGATAAACTTTTAGCAGAGAAAGAGCAATGGAAAAAGGAAGTAAATAGTAGAAAAAATAAATATCACGATTTGAGACAGTAAGTTATTATTTAAATTTGTATTTAATTTACTCTGATAAGTTTCTTAAAATAATAAGATAAATAATAATATTCTGTTCACAGGCAGTATCAAATGGCTTTGAAATCGTCAAGCAGATCAAGAATTTCATACTCTGCATTGTCAACAGAAGATATAGAATTTGTGAAAGCTAAACCGAACATTTCAAAGCTTGTGGAAAGTCAATCAAAGTTACACAAGTCAGTTAAAGAGGCAAGGGCACTTTACAGACGTGCTAATGAACTTGATGATGTCATTCTAAGATATAGTGAAGACAAAGTCAATAGGATCACAGAGTACATCTTAGAAAACAGTACAATAGAACCAATAGACTAATAATTATTACTAAATTTTTTAGAAATACATGTATACTTTTACTACAGTTCTGTATATTATATTGCTTGTTAAGAAATTTATTAGATAAAAAATATTCTATAATTAAAATATCACCTGCATATTAAACTTAAGTTTGCTTTCAATACTAAAATTTGCAATTTCTTGTTTTAAAGTAGCGGTAAAATCTAAACATGTACTGCATTTCTGTACACTGAACACAATTAATTGTAAATATTAGAGTTATTTGTTTGTACTTTGTACATATTAATTATGTAAACATGTAAATATTTTTACAAATAAACTAACCATAGTATGAGGGTCTTATTGAATAATAATTATAGTGCTGGCTTAACTTCAATATTAATTCCTTAAAAGACTTAATTTTAATATACGCAACAGAATAAGTAACATGCTAATTTATGGGTATTTTCCATGACTGTCCTGTGACTACAACCAAACCTTTATTCATAGTCGCCCCAGCAGGGATTGCTACCGGAAGCAAATGTAAGTTAAAATTCCCAGGTGCCACTGACGGCAATTGGAAAGTTATTACTCTCACTTGTAGTTTCAATGTACATTGCTTTTTCCATTGTAGAGAACAAATGGACGAGACAACTTATTCTAAATCTGCCTCTACTTAGTACATCATTCAAATAAACTTTATTCCCATCGCCTAGTGGCAACCCCGCGGGGGCGACTGGCAGTACAGGTAACCAAATGACTGTATTCTGCTGTGCTTCTGCTACTGTGTGTAGGTGTAGGGAACATGTTAAAGTAAACCAGTTAAACCATTAATAACAATTTATTGTAATATTTCATTATAAATTATACTTCATTCATTACATACATACAATTCAATTCATACAAACGGAATTAAACAATTTCATTAAATAACAGTAAATTATATTAAAACAATTTCATTCAGTACATACATCATGTACTATTTATTACTTGTTCATAATAATTAGTTTGAAATTACAAAGAAAAATCAGAATTCTTATTGTATTTACATAATTAAATAATGTGTTTGTTTCTTTTTAATTTAATTTAAAAAGAGTCTCAAGATATGAACCAAATTAATGAGAACATTTTTGAAATTGGATGAAATTGTATAGACTAGAGAGAGAAATTAATAGGTATTATTGGGTGGTAGAAAATTAAAACATCATTATTTGAAAATGATGAATTATCTGCAGAATATACTTCCAAAATGTTTTTAAAAGGTATCATAAGGTCTCTATGGTGCAGCAAATTCAACCCCCGATAGTGCTCTAAAATCTAAATAAATGTAACAAAATATCTCATCAGATTTGTAAGTTGTGAAATCATCCGAAATTAGTTCAAGTAGGCTTAGGAGTAGGTATAGGTTGCGATGCTTTAACATGAAACCAAGCCGCGACTCTGTTACAAATTGTGATTCGATACTTCGTAGTAAGTAAAATCTAATACTAGAGTACTTTATTGCCTAGCCGCTCAAAACCTTCAATCGGCTCGCTCGACATTATGATTGTGTAGCCACACACTGCCAAGTGGTATTTAATTCCAAAAAATAATATCTGAATATAACGACGGAAAAGGAACCATTGGATATCTGTTGTACCAGTCGCGGCTAGCACAGGTGTAAGCCCCAAACAACGCAACAAGCTTGGATTAATCTAAGGGCGCGTACAGATAGAACGTCCGTTTTTACAGGATCTTTGTGCTGTTGTCTGTCAGAAACTGGTGCTTGGGCCTTTATAATATTGACACAGCATTTACAAGACCGATTTACGGATCCGATGCTAGTGGTTGTAATATTTACACTGGCGCTTGAGTGTGCAGCACAACGCACAACGCACACCGCCGCCCCGTGCCAAGCTTCACGCGGTTTCGATCCGATAAAACGCATCAGTATTTCCGTTGCGTGTGGGATTTTTTACTATACTACCATGTGTGAGAAGTAGCTCATAATAATAATGTATACGTTTAAACGGACCCGTAAAACCAGCCGCTGCATATTTTGTCGGGTGTGTATCCGGAATACTGTATTGTGTGTAAACTCTCATACAACTACATACGTCATCAAATAACGGACCTGTAAAACGGCACGCTATGTGAACGCCCCCTAGGAGCCGGAGTGCAAGACGAAAGACATCAACTCACATGTTCTATTAAACAAAAGGCATAAAATACAATATTAGTTTAAGGCTCACTTTATTAGGTTTTATTACGCAATATTTATATATAAGCATCGGTTTTCACATTTTCACTATCGATTATAAGCCTTTCATCAAACAAGTTAAAGTTAAAAAAATAGAACAATAATATTGTAAGTTTTGGTGGGCGCGATCTGATAAGCTGTTGTTTTTCAGAATAGTGATTCTTGGGGTCGTGAGGTCTTCTTTATAGTATGCGACGTATATGAAATAAAAACTCTAAAATTGGTTGAATACACTTATAAAATAATAATAATTTTGTTATAGGAAAAAAATGAACATTTTGTTTTTATTAAAATACTGAATAACTTGTCTCCCTCAAGTAGTACTAACTGTTAATAATAAGTTATAATAAACATTAGATAACGGCACATGAACTAAGTAATTAAATTTTAGCTGCAATTGTATTGCTTAAACTTTTAAATGGATGGGTTATCTAAAGTTTTTATACTATTTGAAAATATCAAATGCTTGTTACATTTTACCGTGTGGACTGTTTAGAGAAGTTATATAAATTCAGTTTCACTATTAAAGTATAAGAATATGTGAGAGCCAATCAACTGTGGTATGGCGGCTAAGCGACTAAATTAAACTAACTACATAATAAATGGATTTCAGCACTTTATTTTTACACAATAAAATGTTCAATCTTAAACATGAATTTAACCTTTATTTAAATGATTACAAGGTTGATTTTACAAAATCGTACAAATAGTCGCTTCACCACCAAGTCTACTTTGAACAGTCTGATTTCAGTTATACAATATTAGTCTGTGTACAAAAATGTATATAAAATGTCAAGAGATTCAATTCAATAATTATTATTTAACTAGTTTTAAGAATGATAAAAACCTTTTTTAATCAGCATTGTGTAGCAACTAAAACAATTAATTAGAATATATATACATTATTAATACAGTCTCTTTGAACACTTTTAGCAGTGGAATTGTTTAATCACGGAGCATTTCGCTAGGTGAGGAACACATTATGTGGAACTAATAATAAAGAAAGGTGATGCCAAACGCCACATTACTTTTCTACTACCTACTACATTATGGTCAAATTAATCATCACTTACCATAAACACGATGGAGGCACTAAAATAATGTGGTGAACATCACTTGAAATGGCATCAAATCAATCTCGATTGCAATTTCAGAGCTGGCTGTATTAAGGTTCAGAAGGTACTTATGGCTTATTGACTATTAGACTATTCACAAATTAGAATGTTTATGAAACAGGAACTTTGAGAATTTTAATACATTGCGAAACATTGTTGTTTTCTAATATCACTCAACTTAAATGTCTGGTTTGGAAACTCCTTCTTGTTTGTGTTTTTTTCTCTTTTGAGGTTTTGTATTCACGACGGCATGGGCTGTTCCTTAGATCGAGTATTGTGTTAATTTTGTCGACAATCTCCCTAGCCATTTCATGTTCACATTCAAAATCATAGATTTTATATACTGTGCTTGGAGGGAAGAAACTGGTTCCACCTATAATCAAAGAGAATGACACATTAGCCGCAGTATTTTACCAAGTCTTTCATTAAAGATTATAATATCTTTACCAAACCTAGATTTTATATGTATATTGGTTAAAAAACCATTAACATTGTAAGTAACAAAGAATAAAATGAAGTGGAATTAGACTGGGCGCACAAGTACGGTTTCCTGATCAGGAATTCTGATTCAGAAAACTGAATGCACGTCCTAACATACTAAAAGTTCAACGAAGCGCATGCGCACATTAAAGCTATTCTAGACGGATGTAATCCAGTGTCCCAACCAAGGTGACCTTGGTGGGAAGTTGGTTTTCATCCGCGTTATGATTTTCGGCTACACGGATGTAATCCACGTGCCAACACGCAATCGCGAGCCGTCTTCTGTCGTGAAAACACGTATGCACTTGTATCATGCGCGGACTGTATTAGTAACCGTGTTGTAGAAATGGCTCCAAAGTCTGAATTTCAAAATGTGGGCTTTGCCTTAACAGTTTTGTGTGCAATAGACGACGAAAAACAACAAAAAGGAGAATGTGGTTACAACAGCGAATGATTCTCAGCCATTCAAACTTATGTCCAACTCCCTATACTTTTCGAGTACTATCTCCCACGCATTTTTTTTTTGACGAACATCTATATATGATACCGGCGTAATGTCCCATAAGCATGGGAGATCTCTATAGAGATCAATTAGTTCGCTAGTAATATCGCGTTCGCGACTCTGGTCTCCGGACGACATTTTTACATGCATACGTGCGCACCCGTTGACTGCCACAGCGCAACTGTCTTTGGTTGGATGTAATCCGCTGGCCAAACGGTTGTAATCCAAGCGCTCCAACCGCGGATGTAAACACGCGCTCGTAATCCAAGGACGTTGAAGGTCAAATCAAAATTTGGATTACATCCTTCGTCTAGATGGATAGCAACGGGCAAGGTCACCTTGGTTGGTACGCTGGATTACATCCGTCTGGAATAGGTCTTATTCTTATTTTTAATAAAAATGCCTAAAGTTTGGATTGGACCTTCGGAGTTCGGACTCTTGACTAATAAAAAAAACTGAAACTTCATTTCGGGCGGTTGAGCCAGACTAGTTCAGACTCGTGCGGGTGGCTAAGTATCTATACAATATCGTTTTAGTAAAATGCAGTGGATCGATATAATTTCCCCATGATGACGAAGCTTTTAAATTTTAATAAATACAAATAGCATACATGTAGAAATAAAGGAAAGCGTCGTCCATAGCTGTCTGCAATGTTTACGGCCATCTTGTATTATTGCACGATAGTTCATGTAAAATAAAGAAGCAGCTAATGTAACCACAAGCTTTATCGCAATAACTTTTTAATGTCAAAACGTATGAAGCTTCGGCACGCATTATGCCGTAGTTACTTTTGGTCGCTAGCCCGTATTTGGGTGCACCAAAGACATTACTCGAATTCGGGCATCCGAAGCAATATTTACCCTGGAATACGGGCTGGAAGACGGTGTCGCCTAAACAAAACCGACCCGAATATGGGCTGACTCGATTCCGTTCATTTACACTATGTCGTTTATCTATTTACCCTGGAATACGGGCTGGAAGACGGTGTCGCCTAAACAAAACCGACCCGAATATGGGCTGACTCGATTCCGTTCATTTACACTATGTCGTTTATCTATTTACCCTGGAATACGGGCTGGAAGACGGTGTCGCCTAAACAAAACCGACCCGAATATGGGCCGACTCGATTCGGTTCATTTACACTATGTCGTTTATCCGAATTCCATTGGCACTCGTATTCGGGTTAACTTCGGGACGATACACGCAGGTGCAGTGCCGAAACATAAGTAACACATAATAAAATAAAATGAAATTAATGACAAGTTTAAAATAATTTCCATTTATTATATTCTGATAGGTACTAGTGACAATAAAAATTATCGGTAGTTCATTAACAAACCAAAATGATATATAGGGTGAAATTGAATGTTTCTATGAAACTTCGTGAGATTGTTGGGTTATGTGTATAGAGTATGCCTGTTTTTTTTCGGATTTTTTTGAAGTATATTTTTTTCATGTATTTGTTTATAATTTGTGTATTTTTATGTCCTTTCCTCCTTTTGAGTAGTTATTCATTTTAAACAAACAAACTTACATATCCAGTGAAAAACAACTAATAAATAAGCACTTCTAAAAAACGGAAAAACTTTAAAATTCCACCGCGGGTCAACGACCGACCGCGCCCGCCAGCCGTTGAGTGAGTAGGTACCTACCTCTACACAGAGCTCAGCTGACTCGTTTGATTCCACACAATACAATAAAGGCATCTACCTTTATTGAAATTGAAATAATAAGCACAAATGTCATCTTCTCTTAAGCAGAGAAAAACTTTAAAAGTTAATAATAATTTTGTAACGATTGGAAATAGGCAAATGTTAAACAAAAAGAAATACTTATTGCAGTTCAATACTTGGGTCAGAATGAAATTTATAACCAGGTATTCAAAAGTACTTACGAGACCGGCGATGTAGGTAGGTACAACGAGGAACATATTCATTTTTTTCACTAGAACTTTTTATCAAATCAATCACACTGGCAGTACACAATTAGTTGTTTCTAATCAAAAAGTATTTACACTAGCAATAAAAAGAGACTTAAATTATTATCTGCAAAATTGTTGCTCTAAACCACCATTTTGCTGCAAACAAAGGTAGGCATGTTTGCGGACGTGTCTTTTCACCTTTTTTAAAGTGTCCCTATCACTACTCACTGCACAAAATGCAACTCCTATGGTTTGGGGACTCATTCGTAAACCAAACCTACTTCGTCACACTCGCGATAGCAGTACACCATCTCTAAATATTCTTGGTTCGTATACCGAGGCATAATGAAATTATCACAGTGTATGTCACTAAGTCAAAAGATGCGCACGCCCACACGCTATTGATATACTTGCGACTGCGTTTTACAAGCAATCAAAGCAAACCACCGCGTGCGGGGAAGAGGGGAGGTGGGCGGAATTCACATCATCAAAGACGCCGCAACCGGCGCTAGTTGCCAGCGTGCGGCGTGCCGCCCGCCCGTGCTTGCCGCAAAACAACATATTATTATGTGTTTGTGTGTGTGTGTGTGTGTGTGACTGTGGCTGTGATTAAATGTGTTGGGAATTTCATGACGTGGGCAAATCAGACACGAAGAGTTCCTTCCTACACTAAGCTCGTAAGTTATACCGATTTGCTCTGTATGTTTTCCCAATTTTAAATAAGCCGTTTGTGCTTAAGTTTTAATTAAACGAGGCAACTAACATTAACAATAAAAAAGAAGTTCTTACACTAACAGACAAGCTTTACCGATTTAAAATCGTGACAGTCATATTAACTTTATAGGATTTTTAATTGCTCTAACAGAAGATTTATTTTATTGATTAATTACCTGTGCTTTATGAAATAATATTCAAAGGTATTGTGTATCAGTGAATAAATAATTATAATATAGCATCTAAGACTATTTTATTGTAATGTTTTTAAATAGTGTGGATCAAAGCGGAGAGTAGGTAAGCGCCGAGTCATCTGTGCGTGTAGTAGGTACCTACACAGGCGGCCGTCGGTCGTCGCCCCGACCGGCGCTGATCTCGACTGGAGGCATAATGAAGGCATTCATTAAGTTTCCGTTTTTTTAGTAGTGCTTATTTTAAGTTGCTTTATAACTTCTATGTAGACGTGATTAAAATGAATAATTACTCATAAGGAAGAAATGACAAAAAATAACCAAATAAAAAATTAAAAAACGAAAAATTTTATTTTAAAAAATCCGAAAAAAAATCAGGCATACTCTATACACGTAACCCAACAATCTCACGAAGTTTCATAGAAACATTCAATTTCACCCTGTATATTATAGCATAGCAGATTTTCCGCTCAATTTGGAGCTCCCGTCTGAGGAGGTAGGTAACCTTCACCTTACAGAAAACTATAGAAAAGTAACCACTACCTTTTGGTGGTGTTGTTTTTTTGCCAGTGAGAGGTTCCAGGGCTCCACGGGGTAGGGGAAGGGGTCAGGGTAGATAAACGGCGCGAGTCTTTAGGCTGTGGTGGCCACTTACCATAAGGCGGGCAATAAGCTTGTTCGCCACTCTTTTAACATAAAAAAATATGTAATCACTGTTATATAGCAATTTCGGTCAGTTATTACCTGAATTGTTCGGGTCACAGTAGTAATTACTATTTGATGGTGAGTAGACTAGTCGGAATGTCGTTTTGTTTGCTCTAGCTTCCAGTATTTGACACCAGGCCACCGAGTCTATATTGAGCCTAAAATATTTTGATCTTGACTGCAATAGAAACATTATGTTGATTAATTTTTAGTTATTTTTTATGGTTGATTGTTGATAAACTAAATGACAATAACTAAAATAATAGATAATTGAACATTTATAATAGGTATGTACCTAGAGTTTACGAGAAAAATATCCACGCGGACCACGCAGCAGGCGGGACTAGAACCAGCACCCTTCATAGCAGCTTAAGAAACACTAGAGAAAATCCGACATGGCTATCAGGGCTGCGGTAGCATAATGGTCAGTGCATGGGCTCAGATAGCGATGGCGCGGGTTCGAGTCCCATCTGCCGCCTGATCCGCGTGGATTTTTTTCTAGTAAACTTTTCTTTAGATTAAAATATGTAGGTAGCAGTTAAATGCTTAACAAATAAAAATATCCTGTATTTTACCTATGAAATTGCCTTCTGCCGTACGTACTGGCTATTTCAAGTAAATTTTTTTTCGCTAAGAATTCCATATAAAAACAATAATAATTTGAATTTTTGTTTTTAAAATATGGAATTATTTTTGGACACCGTTTCGTACACCATACTCAACACACCTTCTACAGACTTCTACTTTTTAGCACTGAAAAACCAAGGTGCAGTTCAAAACGTGTTTGAAGAATTTGTGGCCTGCCGTCCAGCAGACTTATTCAAAAAGGGCATCAATCAGTTACCACTATGTTGCCAAAAATGCATTGATTGCATGGGTAATCTTTGATAAATTAAAATAAAAAGTATTGATAAAAAGGATGTTAACTTATTTCATCACAAAATGGCTATTTCGTAGGTAAAGACCTAATACTACTTAGATGATATTTTTGTATAAGGCGAGTTTAATATTACAAAAAAAAATAGTAAGTACTCCCATGATGACAGCGTTATTCACTGTGACTTAGGGGCACTAAGCACTTGCCTTACAAATAATTCTCTTACTATAATCCCCATAACTATTATTTCAGCATCTTTACAAAGGTACTTGGATTTTTTTATTATTCTGTGTATTTATTACTAAAAATAAATAGAAGTTTACCCAAAATTGATGCTTATGTGCAACGAGGGGCTCCACTTCAATCCTCTCAAGTGATATTCCCAACTGAACTAGAGTGTTAGTCCTCACTTTACGTAATAAGTGCACTCTGTATGTTTTGTATTGCGGTGCGTCAGTTGCATTTAAATGAGATTGAATTTTGTCTAGTTCAGATTCAGCTACTTTTCTTTCTGGAAATAAGATATATGATTTGGATGATAAAAGCAAATGGCACTTGCAAATTAGGTTTTACAGCACTTTGGTAACTGTAAAAATCGTAAATCGAATGTAATGTCATATAAGATTAGCTATTTTACATAGTGATACACTTTTTTTAATACTACACAGCTGACTTAATTTGATTATACCTTGGTTCACTGCATTTATGGCCTTCCTAACAGCTTCTGATGTCGCACTTCCACCTGTATGTTGCCTTGATGGATTTTGATGACTTTGACCTGATTCACCAGCTTTTGGGAACACCTCTAGCATGCTTTCCTCAGGTATAGACAAAGGAGCATGAGCGAACACATGCTTGTTTTTCAATTCAACAAGTCCAAGACAAGTAAAGCCAAATTTTGAACACGGTTCATTGATATCCAAGCAAGGAAATGCCCAATCTACTTCACCATCATCCTCAGCTATACATAGACCATAGTTATGCACAGATCCAAGACTGATTTCGGGATGTTCAATGCTGAAATTTTTTATTAGAGTAATATTAAAAATAATTATTATGTGTATATTTATTAACTAGACTTTCAAAAAAGTAAAATATACTAATGAAACAATGTAAAATATATTAATATACGAATGAAATAAACATATTTCCAATCTCTTTTAAGAGTGTCTTATTACACATACGAGGCCTATGTGTCTGCAGGACACACTGAATTATAAGTAAAGGTTAATGATGTGTATTTAATGAAATTATCAGCAATAAAGGCTTTTGTATTATTACACATTATATAATAGTTATTAGTATATATCAATAAGTGTATAGCGGAAACCAAAGCATTATAACACTTTGGGTTCAACTTATTTATTACGTTTCAGTTATTGAATTAAATATTAATAAATTACCTGTATTTGTAGCATGTAAAACCTATTAAATCTTTGATCTTGGCATTGGCAATAACGCAGACAACTAGAGGATAGTTTTGATGCTTTTCTGGTAACATCGTCATGAAAATTTTGAATGATTTTACAGGAAGTCCCATTTGAGCTGTACCATCAAATTTAGCATACTCCAGGTACTGCCGGTGGGGGAGATCAGGGCATTTTTCCATTTGCTCTGCTAGCAACGACTTCTTATTTTCTGGCTTTTTAACTTCTGATCTTGTGAATATTTCAGCTATCTGTTCAGTACTAAGTTGAGTAGAAGAATCATCCCATTTAATTACTTTTATTTTAGCTGCCTTCTTTAGAGCTTGTTCCTTTTTATCAAGCCATTGGGCTGTGTTAGACCTTTGCCTAGAATGTAACAGTTGAATTTAAGAATATATTTTAAATAAGTTAAAATTAGACAGTCAATAGTGAATATAAAACCGTGCATGCCATAAAAAAAAAAAAAAGAATTGTGAATATATTTGATACTCCTAGCTTCCATTGCACACATACCTGTGTCCACCAAATTCTTCATAACGCAGATAGCTGCTACCATATTCTTCTTCACTATCTTCCATATCAGGATATGGGTCAAACTGAGTAACTATTTCTTTTTCGTCGTCGTCTTCGGATATATCACCCATTCCTTCTTTGACTAAAGTAAATAACAAATTATTATCAGAAGTTAGTTAAAGCAAAAAATGTGATTATCATTTATTTTAATACCTCTACTTGTACTTGGTTGACTTAATTGGCCTTCTCTTATTCTTTTTTTATCTTCTAGAGCTTTATTTTGGAACAATTTTGAAAAGTCTTCACCAGCCATCACTATCTCACATAGACCTGTGTCGTCTGTTGCAATGAAGGCTTCTCTTATATTTTTAAGAAGCCAAATTTTATTGTCGTATGTGGCCATATTTACTTTGTATACAAATAAAATAAAATCAATTCGTTGCAATAAAATGTTCTCCACCGTTTCGATTTCCAACCAAACAAATATTTGTGCTAGTGGGTGACAGTGACAGTTGTTTTTCTATGCTTTACGGCCGTGGTATTCCCTATTTTGGCTAAGTCAAACATGTAGTGATGGGCGTAGTCGATTTTAAACATAGAAAAGTATACAGAGTGGTCCAACTAGTGACGTCAACAATTTTTTTTAGATTCCTCGCCCCTGGGGTATCCGAAAATAGCCCCTGTACAGTTTGTCTATAAAGTCGTGACATGATGGCGCTACTAGTATGCATGTAGCAACCCTATACAGTCTGACTAAAATGATTTTGATACTAGCAGTTCATTCAAGTAAAATAAGTAATTCAGACACACTTTAAAGTCATATTTTGTTTCTGTTTTATATATACAGTAGGTACCTATGCTTTTAAAAAGTTTTACCAAGCATATTTAATTGAATATAGATAAAATAGAACATTATTGTGTATAAGTGTGTAATGTTGGCGATTACCGCTGAGGTGACATTGAGACCAGAGCCGTTAGGTGAGGTTAGAGTCGAGGATGGTAATCATCAATACTCACGTGTATCATACGACGTTTTTTTTAACACACTTGTTAAGAAAATAATACTTAAAATCATTTTATAGTATATAAAAAGTTTATTTATAGAAACAATTTTTAAATGTGCAGTTAGTAAAATTAGTGATAGGTATCTTCACTAAAAGCATCTGGCCATGGTTCTCTGTGACCTGGTGGGAAAATAAATCGTCCATTTCTTTCTTTGGTCGGCCTTGCCTTTGTTTCCCATGAGTTTTAAATTTTCCATCATTCTCAAAACCTTCGTTGACTATCCGCCAACTGTACTCTCTGAATTTTCTGAAAATAAAAAAGTAAAAAAATATATAACGGTATAGAAAAAATAACTTATTGACATGAAGCAATTAATTCAAAATTGGTAGAAAACCTGACTGAGTTGTACCATCCCAACGTATCAAAAGAAATGGTCGTACTACAATATTACCTACTTACAATGGTGCCAATTCTGGCGTGATTCTCTAAACTAAACAGTAAATTTAACATCAGTGTCTCCTTTTCATTCTGTATAGAGAATGACAAGGATATACTGCTGTCAAATTTAAGTTTAGGTTTAGAGAATCATGCTAGAATCGACACCATTGTCAATCTAACCTAAAAATGTGCAATGTAAACAATGCCTGTTTTAGTCTTAAAATCGTAAATTGAGTAAATTTGTAACTACAGGCAGATTACAAACAAAAACTAACACGATTACATACCCGTCATAGATGCTGTTCGCCCATAAACATCAACCAAATCCCACAAAATTCGTCCAGCTTGGTACTCCGCGAAACATCGCTGGAAAACTTTAAAAATCACTTACCACGTGCCACTCCAATTTACTCATTTTTATACCTTTCTGCGTAGTTTCGTCTTAATTTATTACAGTTTAATCAAAACAATAAAAAATACAAAAGGAAAACTGTTCCACAACTCAAACTCGATGACACTTTATCTCGAGTTTCGGAAGGCACGTTAAGCCGTTGGTCCCGACTGCATCTGCAGTCGTTAGCACCCGCCAATTCGCACTGGGCCCGCGTGGTGCATCATGGCCCATTCTCCCTATTTCATCCATAGGGAAGGCCTGTACCCCGGCCCAGCAGTAAGGACATTAATTAGCTAATGATGATGATGATGATGATGCAATTATTTAAGACAGAAATATACTTATGTTTCTTGTGCTGTGTGGCAATCGGTTTCATACATATAGTGCGGCTAGAACTATACTTGTGTGTCACGATGTGTCGCACCGTTCTCACTCTAATCATACTAAATGTATGAAACAGATAGCTTTCTGATGCGTCACAACACGAAACGACAGATAAGTGCAATTATGTCATTAATTATATCCATGAAATACAGTACCCGGTCATTTATAAGTCGCATCGAGCTTTAGAAAGAGATACTCGGCTAGCTTCAGCTTCGTATAGCGCCGTCTCTGACACCCTTGTCAACCTGACATTTAATCGCTTAATTGTCAGTCGTAGTTCAAGGGCGCTAAAGAGCAGTCGCGTTCTTCTTAAAATATATTTTACCGAGTTGCTAAAACAAGTATAAATATTTCGTGAAAGAAAGAAAAAAATTAAGGATGGTGATGACAGTAATTGTTTTATGAGAGGCTTCGCATATCTATTAGTTTTTTGTATTTTGTTATTTGGTTGGAAATAAAAATTACAGTTTTTCATTAAAATAAATAAATTAACATACATAGTACATATAGGTATATGTTGTCTTTTACCTATATCGCATCTCCGGGGCGACACTGTCACTTATGCAAAAAAAAAAATTTTTCAGGATGAGCGTTTAAAACTTTAACATCCCAAAACATACAATATTTAAAGATTTTTACGTGATGCAAAGCTTATACAGCTTAGCTATTCATCTAAAAAAAATTAAAAAAAAAAACTTTAAATATTGTATGTTCTGGGTTGTTAAAGTTTTAAACGCTTCTCCTGAAAAATGTTTTTTTTGCATAAGTGACATTTATTTTAAAAAAAACTTAAAAAAAGTTTTAGCAGCTCTTAATAGATACCAGACTGTTAGTGTTTCGTGTGACAGAGATGACGCTCTACAAAGTTGAAGGTAGCCGAAGCTAGCCGAGTATCTCTCTCTAAAGCACGATTCGACTTATAAATGGCCTGGTATTGTACCTATTAGACAGTGACAAATGGCCTCTGTAGTGTGCTTCTTTCTGGGCCCGTTTTTCCGTAGCAGTGAACTGATCGAATCGATTCGTTTGTTGCACGTGGATAGTATTTACGGAATCACTTACAGAAGGTAACTCTCCGTCTCCGCGGCGGCTGTCAGGCGGTTTTTTGGCGCGATTTCATCGAGTGCTGTTGGCGTCCTAATTCGTTCATAGTAGATATTGTGAAATAAAATTGGTGTCATTTTTTGTCACACACAATCATCTGCGCAACCGAATAAGTAGTGGAATCTTTAAAATATACGCTATTCTGGTCAAATGGACGTGAGAACTTAGTGTAGTATTGACGTTGACTACTTCACAGAAGCTTAAAGCAAAATCTAACTTGAAAGTGTTCGTGCCAAACACTCCAAAAATCATAAGAATGCGTCACACTGACATTCTAATGTTTAAAAAGAAAATTAATAAAACTTAAGACTAGGCTGCATGGGCATTGTTTTTTTTGCCTCACGTAAAAAGGGAGAATGTTAAAAAGGCGTGGTTGTCATCACTGACTGGTTGTCATAGAAACGTTAAGTGGTAAACATTCACAAATAATCTCCGAATTTAAAATTTCATCTAGTATTTGCTCAGTAAGTTTGATTTTTAGCGAAATAAAAATTTCCTGATAACAAAAATAAACTATGAATACAACAATTTATAGGCTTATCTTTGATAGAGTTATTCGCACTCAGAGGTTATTTAGGTACGAAGATGGTTGTATTTGTGTTCTGTTATTGTATACGTATATGTTTTTTTCGCTTCATTAAATCTAAACTGACACTATAGGTGAAAATAATAGGTTTAACGGTTTAACTCAGACACTTTAATAATAATTTCATTTCTATGAGTGCTTACGGCCAGAAGCGACCATGGCACAGGATGAAAGACTGCGAGGGGTGGCTGCAAAAGCTGTAAGGGGCAGCAAAGCCATACGAAGGCATTCGTTACTAAACTATACTTTAATTTGATTTATTTCTATTCATCTGACAAAATACAAACTGTTAAAATTGTATTGACACATTGTTAAGTTATTTATTTTACACAATACTGTAATTTCCAGTTGCTAATATACAACTCCTTAAGTCTTGAGCACAATCATAATATGACCTATAAGGTGGGGATAAAGTGGAGTCATATAGCTTTATCACTTCAATAAATTTCTTCATTGCTTCACCATATTTGCCTTCCTCCATAGCAGCACGACCCAGTCGATACATCATCTCTGTGTCCTGTAAAAATTAATATTAAATGATATCTGTAACTATAAAATTTTTTTGAACACATAAAAATAGTCTTGGAATTACTTAATCCTACTAATATATATTTTTTTATGTTAATTTGGTACACATATAGTTTATGACCTGGATTGAGACAGGATACTTTTTATTCCGGAGAAGTGTCAGGTTACTGAGGGATTTTCCAAAAACTAAAGTTAATGCAGACGAAGTCGCGGGCAGCTGCTAGTAGAAACATAATTTAAGTTCTTATAAGACTAGAATATTTTTGTTTTCCTTCTTTATAGGATTAATTCTGTATTACTGTCATGGCAGATGAAGAGGATGGTATGTACCTTTTTTATACACCCTTAATAACAATTTTATCTATCTTTAGAAGCATAATTTCATGCTGCTAATCTAGTGTTTAACTGTAACACTTGAGTGTAAATCTTAATTAAAATCTCTTCCAGTTATTGATGAAGAGACAGAAATAGCTGAAGGTCGCAGGGAGAGTGAAACTGCAATTAGCCCTGTAGAAGTGGAGAGACCACTTGCACCTCCAAAATATGAAGTCCGACCTGGTCTAGGAGAAAAGTGGGTTTCTTTTAACATAATAATGCCAGGAAATAAGAAATAACAAGTTGTTTTTAAAGTTAAAGAAGTGAACATTTCTCAATTTCTTTTTTGAATTTTTAGGTTCCAAGGTCAAAATGTGCGTGATATTATTGTATCCACAATGCAGGAACAACTAACAGGCCGACAGTACCGAGCTGATCAAGCTCCTAGTTGGGCTAAAGCCATTGCTAATGCTGTCCGACAAAGAGTTCAAGATTTAGATATGAAAAGGTAAATTCAGAGTAGAATTTTTAATTAGCTATTAAAAATCATTTAGACATAAATAAGGGAACTGTTTTCATGTTTTGTATATGTTCATTATTAGGCTGCAAGGCAGCACCATCTCTTCGCATAGTAGATAATCCACAATGTCCAATCAATGCCTGTACAAGTATTAAACAAGCAATATTTTGTTTTTTTTCCAGCAAAATTTTCTTTAGAATTTAACATGAAATTTATTTCTACATCTACAGAAATCTGTTACAACTAGCTCCTTTCCTTTGCAGGTATAAAATTGTCGTTCAAACTACTTTATTAGAAATGAAAGGGGCTGGAATCAAATGTGGACAGAGGTGTATCTGGGACCCCGAGACGGATGACTACATTGACGACCTATACAAGAATGACACACTGTTTTGTTATACCATAGTTTACGGCATTTACATGTACTGAACAAGACTGAATTTTTTTGTCGTATTTGACTAAGGCCCGTATTATAGAAAGATTCTCTCTGGTTGTTTTAGTCTTGAGCATAGTTAGAAAGGGATGTCGCTATATATAGCACATAGCGACATCCATTTCTAACTGTACTCAAGTAAAGATCAACACTTAGTCGTCATTCTATAATACGGGCCTAATTGTGTGTTATGTGGAGTCTGTGCTATGTGAGACAGAACTTTAAATGAGGATCATTACTAGGTCAGCAAATCAACTCAAAGCCAACAGTAAGTATAATGTTCTACTAAGCTTTGAAATTAATATACTTTTTTAATCATTGAAATTCGTTCATTCATTGTGATTTTATAACTAATTTTATGGTGAAAGGTTTTGTGACGTCACAGAGCTCGATCGTGGTTGACTACGGTCAAACTTTAGTAGCATCTTTACGCACGCTCGCTAGAGTTATGTGACATCACAGCCACCATGTGGCCAACCGAGAATTCGTTTAGTAATTTGGTCATAACTTGGTCAATATTTGTTTAGGAATTACAAAAATTTAACCACTGTATTTTATGGAATCTTTAACAGATCCTTATTCAGTTGTAAGTTATTGTTTGTAAAATGTAAATAAATATTTTTTTAAGAAATCACCTGTTTTAATAAGCTTTTCTATTTGCAAAATATGAAGTAATTATAAAAGGTGAAAGTCTATCTATTCCTTTTTAAACACCAGGGATGGGATGTTGGTGGGAGCAGGGGAAAAACCCAAATAGTAAAGCCACTTTGACTGTGATAGTGTTCCTTTAATTACATTATATGTATAAGTACCTATACTTGATTTTACCAATGTATTGGTGTTACTAATAAATGTAATTTATCCAATACCACATTACAGATTTCTAGTACATACTAAAATTCTCTGAGCTAAGGTGTGAACGGACACACAGACATAGCGAAACTACTTATAAGGGTTTCTTGTTGATTCAGCGTCGAATCGAACTCGGGAACTCGTGAGATAACATTATGAAAAGCGGTATAGGTACAAGACACTCGACCATAGAAGTATGTTTTTTTATATATGAAAAAAGATGACAAAAAAGTACACGGCGCGCCTGATGAACTGAGTAAACGGCCATTATAGCTTATAGATAGACGCTTGCGATACAAGTAATATCACTCGCGCTGTTTACTTTTACCCTGACTTGCTTTTGCTGCTTACCCTGACCCCATCTCCTACTCCGTGGAGTCCTGGAACCTTACTCACCGACAGAAACACAACACCGCCAAAAGGTAGTCTTATTTATTAACTGTGGTATTCTGGTTACTTCTCCAGTTGGGCGCTCCAATCCCGCTTAGCCCTACCTCTCTTAAGTTTTTGTTGTTTGGGTTAAGGCTAGCATATTATTTTCATAACAGTTTTATTTTTTAACCACTCGACGACCTCCGTGGTCGAGTGGTTTGTACGCCGGGTTTCATGGTGTCGCCGACTCGAGAGGTCCCGGGTTCGAATCCCGGTGGGGGCAGATGTTTGTGTGGTGAATACGAGCATTTGTACTCCAGTCATGGATGTTTAATATGTATTTCTATATAAATATACTTATATATGTACTGTATATGTATTCTATCCGTTACCCTAGTATCCCATAACACAAGACTTATAGTGCTTACTTTGGGGCTAGGCTAATTGGTGTGAGTGTTGATATATTTATTTATTTTTTATTATTATTATTTTTTTACTAGCCCGAAAACTTGCCCCTATAAGTTATTGAACGGCAATATCAACGTAGCAGTACGTTCAGTGTCACTGAATCAGTGTATTAACTAAGGTACATACTTCTGCACGTGCATATTTTTTTATGTTAAAAGGGTGGCAAAAAAGCTTATGGCCCGCCTGATGGTAAGCGATCACCATAACTTATAGACGCTTGTGATACCAAAAGTATCTCTCGCACCGTTGCCTACCCTGAGCCAATCGCCTGTCCCGTGGAGCCCTGGAACCTTACACACCGACAGAAACACAACAAGAAAGGAAGAAACCAAAAGGTAGTTATTTTACTGTGTAGGTTGCTTCCCCAGACTGGCCCTCCAATTCGAGCGGAAAAACTGATATGCCCTATCTCCCTTTAAGTAAGTACTTCTATATAGTATTAAAGTAGAAAAACTAGATACCTCATTCCAAAGGTCGTCTATAACGCAAATGGTCAAAACAGTTGAGAAAACATGTCAAAAAAATGATTTGAAACAATAGATTTAAAGAAAATTATCAAACAGCTCCCGGAAAAATACTTCCATGATTGTTTAAATAAGCAATTGTCATTTGATTTGATCATGTATCGTAATGGAAGCATGTAATAAAAATCTATCGTCAGATGTTTTATTAAATAATTTGAGCCGATATTCCAATTTAAGTTTATTAGGACATGGGCGGTAAGTAAATTAGACCACGAGATGCGACAGCGATTTTCGCTTATTTTACTTATTATTTCCTTCTACATTTACACTTTGCTCCGTCTTCGCATTTAGACAAAAAAAACGGTATATAGATGAGAATATGAGAATTGTTCGGGATCAAAAAATTAACCACCGCTTATTTCAATGGTACTTATTATTTGTAGCGGAATTGGTGAGGTATCGATAGTAGGTAGGTAGTTCATTAAGTAAGAAGTTGTAACAATAGGTGTATCTATAGATCGCTTATAAGTATGAAATTATCGCAAATTTTGTGCTTTTTCAAAAAGTTTTCAATTATTCATTAATATCTATTTTGTGTGGGCCCAAGCAAGTCCTGAAGAGACAGCTGTAAAAAATTAACCAAACATTGAAAATGCTCGACAATGTCAGCATTTAGGCATACCTAGTCAGGGACATGAGTACCGACGGACGTACCGCCAGAAAATCGGAACTCCAATATACGAAGCTCTCAGAAAACCAAATTCGCGATACTTTTTGAACAGACTATGTAAATAAAATAAATATTTCTAACACTCACACCAATTAGCCTAGCCCCAAAGTAAGCACTGTAAGGCTTGTGTTATGGGAAACTAGGGTAACGGATAGAATACATATACTGTACATAAATAAGAATATTTATATTGAAATACATATTAAACATCCATGACTGGAGTACAAATGCTCGTATTCATCACACAAATATCTGCCCCCACCGGGATTCGAACCCGGGACCTCTCGAGTCGGCGACACCATGAAACCCGGCGTACAAACCACTTGGCCACGGAGTTCGTTAAATGTGTGTATGTATTAGATTCCGCAATTATCTCGGTAGTCTTTATACCAACTGATATTTGCTTTCATTTATCCTAATTATATATATTAGTAGGTTATAGATTAAACTTGAAGAAAAAAGATTGCCAATAAAATAAAATGATGTTAAAACATTTTAGTTTTCGAGCTTAATAAACTGGAAAGAATATTTTGAAAGTCTTACTTGTAAAGACTTGAGTCCTTTGAGAATATTCGTGTACTGTTGGCAAAGGCCGCACTGCACCATAAACTCCTTGCAGTCGTGTGGAACAGCCACCACGTTAGGACAGGGTTGGTCGGAATCACACCTGCCAACAGAAATGTACAAAAACAACATAAGTGGGGAACTCAGAACTCACTGGGCGCAGTGGTGCTATTCTGTAAGAACAAATTCACTTTTCACCTCGGAATCCGTGGGGCGTGATTTAAATTAAGAAAACGAATTTTTAATAAATAAGTATGTTTTTACAGAAAAGCACCACAAGCACTGCCAGCAGCCCACTGTAATTACTCAAAATTGAATTTATGAAAAGTAAATATTTTTTTGGTAGTTCACCTCACCAATGCTATAATCAAAATTACGCCTTCGGAATTTTTATTATCATGATTATCACTTTTGTCTCTCCAACTACATCGTTACTTGATCCTACTGTAATTTACGTAGGTTTAAGTTATGTATGATGATACATCGAATGTCGGTTTTAGGAGTTCCTTATATCCTCTGTGGTAAATTACCTACTCGAAAACTACCATCGAAATAAATAAAACCGGGTAATTTTACAGGTTTAAAAACGTTTTTTACATTACCCGACGTTTCATTTTAAAACCGCAAAAAGTGGTTTTATTCAATGAGTGATGTGCGTGAAAACTTAAGAAACAAATATACCAAATAAATAGTTACTGACTTGAACCGCATATAATTCTCGTTCATCTCTTCGTAGGTTGGCCAGTTTTCTTTGCAGGGGATGCAGTTGCAATCAAACCAGTATTGATCTTTGAGCTGTGCCTGTCTTTTCTCTTTCGGAACTGTAGTAAATATGGGCCCGTAGTTTTCCGATACTTCTTCACCTTTCTTTATATTTTTAATAGCTCGAACTACTACGTTAGGTCCGCAAAAATACCTGATAAAATGTATGAAAGATTTAATATTAAAAAAAAAAAATGCAGTAAATCTATTTTATGGCAAAAGTAATAAGGTGGTTTGAAACTTTCTCAGATACCTGACAACACTAGGATCACAGGAGTGATTAAACAAGGCAAGTGTTGGGAAAACTGCCCCGGCTATGAAAACAGATTTTCCACCATGTTTAATTACATTATGTCCTACTTTAGGCCTTGGACACTGCAATTCGAATACTTCATGAGCATTGAATTGAAGTACTTGTAAGTTTTTCAGTATCAAAGCACCAAATAGTGCTACGTCGTCTCTATGTTTCTCGTCCACCGCCATAGATTTCAGTTCCTCCATTGTGACGGGTATGTCTCTCGGTTTACCATCAAAGTATCCACTGACTTCTAGCAATTTTATAAGAAATGATGTCATTTGCGTCCTATGCAATAAATCCAATTTATTCCTTTTGCTTTCATGGGTGACTAAGTGATAAATATTTCTGTAGTCTTCAGTTTTGTAAGTTCCATTTGGCTTTGCGTTTAAATCACCATAGATTTTCGTAAAATACTCTTTACTATGTTGTGTGATCATCCTTAATGCAATTTGGCATGTTATTGAGCATCCAGACTTCCATATGAGCGGGAGAATGTGGCATTCGTATGCATGGTAAGATTTTTGGGCAGCGTCTAAGCATTTTTCGCTACAGAAAATAACATTTGGGCATTTTGGACACGGTAGAGGTATCGGGCATCTGGAATATAGATAGCATCATTAATAATGTACTTAATTATACAACATTTTGTAAAAGTCATGTTGTATTTTTTGTAGGGCTGATATAAAAACTTACTTTACAAAGCAATATTGACAATGTGTACCGGCATATTCACCAAGCAGGACTCCGCTATGTGGCTTTTCAACCAGGAGAATTTCTCCGACTTGAATATCTCTTGTAGCCGTTGCAAATCTGCCTCGTTCTTCGTCCTGGTCTATATGTATTGCTTCAGAAGCAGCAGGGTAGTTAGCGTTATGTTTGCCTGGTAATTTTGGCTTCGGAGGCAGTTTCTTTAAGGGTTCTGGGTCTTTAGGATTGCCGGCTAAAACGAGACCCTTATTCAAAATTTCCAACATAAGTTTAGCATCTGTTCTAATTTTTTGTCGCTTTTCCTTATCTAGTTTGTTGGCTTCATCTAGCGCGGTGATGGTGTCCCTGTAATAAAGTATTGAACAACAAGTTGTAATAATAGAAGTAGTGTTTTATAAAATAAAAAGTCAAAGCTTATATATCAAAGGGTCTAGAACTGATCATCGAAAGTTTTTTCGTCGAAAGCTATTTATCCACCGTGATATCATCAAAAGTCCACTTCATTGATGGTCTATTTTACCAAAGACTGATCAAAATATTAGACGGACCTGTCGGATAAAGCTTAATGATCTGAGAAAATTTTGAACTTTAAACAAATCACATAAAATTTTATAGAGTATTATAATATATATTTAAAATAGCCATATGATAACACGAAAATTTTTAACATACTGGAAAGCTGTGATTGCTTCCTTATTTCTCTTCAGCACTAGCAGGGTCCTGGCTTTGCGTTCGAACACTTTGTATCTCAGGTGGCGTGGGTATCCCAGGGCTAAGCAGCGTTTAATGTCAGTCAGGGTCTCCTCATATTGCTCCAAATGGTTCAATGCAGCTGATCTGTTTGCGAAAAGTATTGCCAGCTCGTCCGCTAAAATGTACAAGAAAATTAAAAAACTCTACTTACCTACATATGCTATTACAGAACAACATGGATGCGATACTATAAATGCTTGGATATCGAATTTTGTGGCTAATTTTTTCATCCTAATTTAAATGTGCAAGTAAGTTAAATACTACTACAAATAGTACCCAATGTAGCTAAAGCAGACTTATATCCGCTGGCAGCACCCGTTCACGAGCATGACGCATGCAGCTATCGCTTCTATGTTCAATGTTTTTAACTGTCCTTATTATTGTTACAATTTTTTTATTTTTTTCTTGTAAAATTTTCTTTAGCTTTGATCTCATTATTTTTAATTTCTCTTTTCTCAATTTTTTTAGTTTCTCAGGTCACTCAAAATAAGTTTTACTTACCTAGTTTCAAACAACTTTCTTATATTTATCCATAAGAACCTTGTACAAGTATAAGGTAACCCTAAATTATGAATAAAATCGGTGATGACATCCTCAAGTTTTGTCGTGATGTGACTAAGAGAAAAAAGAATTACAGTTTTTAGTTTCCCGGTTAACTCAAAATTTACCGTGTAGGTATTGCTTCGCGCAAATTTCTTATATTTTTCCGTAACAACCTTCTACAAAGTATTAGATAACTTAAAAATTATGAATGAAATCGGTTGTCATCCTCAAGTTTTGTCGTGATAAAAAAAGTTTTCATAAATTTTACTTATATATAAAAGATTAATTTCATTTCTCAATGGATCGCCAAGCTGAAGTGGCAATGGGCGGGCGGGGCACATAGCTCGGTGAACCGTTGAACGTTGGAGTCCCAAGGTGCTTTAATGGCGACCTCGCACCGGGAAGCGCAATGTTGGTAGACCCCTCACGAGGTGGACTGACGACATCAAGCGAGTCGGGGGGACCCACTGGATGCGGAAAACGCAGGGTCGTTCCATATGGAAATCCCTTAAGGAGGCATATGTCCAGCAGTGGACGTCCATCGGCTGATGATGATGATTGAAAAGATTAATTGAATGCACCGTGTGTGTTACATTAAACATTAATGTGACTTGATAACTAACGATACAGCGTTAGCCTCATGAATGAAACATTATGATGACTGTTGTACCTACATTGTGGAATTGCGCAGGGAAACTGGTTTTTACCCATTAATACAACTGATAGCTATGTAAAATAAAAATACTCACTTAATGGACAGATAATAGAAAAAGTAAGTGTTATAATTAATTCTTACTGAACACGTAGCTACTTAACAAGACAAAAAGTTTGATAACAAAAAAATATATACTCTACATAGGTATGTATATCGTAGAATAAGTAAACATACCACCATGTATACAACATTTTTGGGCAAAAATTATTTAATACTAGTTTTGTGTCCATTTCCTTAAAAACTAGTGATTTAACATTGGTTTATAAGAGGGATATTGTGCAAAAAATATCATTTTTCAAAATCATTACCCTATCATTTTGTTTTTCTGCAAGGGGTACTAATAATATACTTATTTATAGTTGGAACTTTTGGGATACACCCAGGCGAATTCACTTTTATAATTTATCCGAAGCTTTTCTAAATTCCGAAACTTAAAGTTTCAAATGAGATTACGCGTTTCAGAACTTAAAAGTTCTCAAAGCTTATAAAACACCAGTTATTCCATTTATACTACTAATAATAAATATATCAGAACAAAATCCTTGACTTACATTCCTTAGCTGGCATATAAAGCATACTCTGGCTGTACCAGAGCAGAGCTTTGACCCAATCACCTTTCAGCACCGCTTTATTGCCCTCCTCTTTCAACTGGCGCGCTCTTTCCAAATCCTTTTTCACTGGGAATTTACCGCCCGTCTGACATTTCTCCACGTCGGCAGTAATATCATAGTTCTTTATCACAGGAAGACTGCACAAGTAGGATGCCCGCTTCGAGTTGCATTCTAAATTGGCAAAGTTGTTTCTTGTGACGTCGTCAATTTGTTCGTTGATAGTTTCATGGAACTTTCTGAAGAAGCCGTTGTCCTTTTGAGACATTTTCGCGATACACTGGTTCACAGTCAAAGATTGTGTGTTTTAAGGTTAAAATACTGCATGTGGAAACCGGCACATGCCGTCGGCGAAGAGCGCGCTCCTGAATTTCTATTTTTAAAATATGGGACGTGAGTGTGACGTTCTGTACATCACTTCAGCTCGTTCGGGAGTTTTCCCGTACGATCGGTGTAGTCTCTAGTAAAACCACTGCCCTAAATAGATATTGTTTTCATTTATTTGAATTCTATGCTTTATAGATTTAGATTATTTACATATCATGATATCACATCAGTTAGGTGGGTGTCCTTTTTTGCTGGACGGAGTCAACGATCCGCAACGTTGGTCGCAGAAAGCTCTGGAAAACAGTCTTGCGTATTGCGTCCATTAAAATGTTCTATACCTGTTTAGAGCGGCTACATCAAAATAAGACGTAATGAACGTACCTAAACACAAGCAACTTGCGTATTTGTTTTTTGTGAAGTGGCCTAATTATAGCACGGGGTGTAGTTTTTGTTCGGAAATACCCGTGGTTAAGTATGACTTATCTGAACGTTTTGAGTGAAGGATTTAATAGAACTTTGTTCACAAAATCGTTATATTGAAAGGAAATACCCGTTTTTTGTACGTGGTAAATTGAAATTACTAAGTTCATGATGAACTTATAATTATAGATATGGCTCAAGTTTTCATTATTGAATGAGATATCACACAGGAGACTTTACATTCGTATTGCAGCGCTTGTCTTGGGAATTATCCTGCGGACAAGATTTCTAAGGAAGTTTTTTTTTATTTAAAAAGGTTGGCAAGTAAGTATTATAATAGTCCGTATGATGGTAAGTAAGCTGTCGTTAAAGCCTATTGACGTTTGCGATGCCAAAGTAGAGTAACTCACGCCGTTACCTACCCTGTTGAGATCAAGATGTTTGGTAAATACACAGGCTTCTGTGAAGCTAAAGATTCCGGTGAGATGAAGATGTAGGTATGGTTCAGGACATGGGTGTAGCCAGGGGGAGGGTTTTGGGGGTTCAACCCCCCCCCCGAAAAGTTAAGATATCAACATCAATAATATCAAAATAAGGAGAGGCGAGCGGCATAACTTATTTAATTACTAATTATTACACTAATAATGTATTTTGGATTCGCCTTCTACCACCCGCTGCCGCCCGTCGTCATTTATTCTATCGCTTTCGGTAACCTTCGTATATTTTCGTTTCGTATTAGCATGGTATTGTTATCTATCACCTCCCCTACTCCATAATCTGCTTTAGAATGCTCATATAAGTGCGATCAAAAATTATATAAAAATATTTACACTGTTTCAACTGCTATACCAGAAAGGACGTTTTCAAGCCTAAGGAGACTTAAAAACTACTTGCGGAACACAACCAGTAAAAACGGACTGAACTGCTTGGCTCTCGATGAATGAATATTTACTATGGGATAGAAATTGATGTGAATGAAGTTGTGGATATATTTAAAAAGAAAAACAGAAGATTAATTCTGCTGTAATCAAATGAACCTTCTGTTTCTTTTTAGGGTTCCGTTCCTTAAAAGGAAAAAACGGAACCCTTATAGGATCACTTTGTTGTCCGTCCGCCCGTCCGTCTGTCGGTCAAGACCATTTTTCTCAGGAACGCGTGGAGATACCAAACTGAAATTCATATCTAATACTCATGTCTACTGTCCCTTGGAGCTGTGATAAAATCAAACTTCTGAGCCAAAGCAATCAAAAGATACAGCCGTTTATGCTGCAAATTTCTGCAAATTTTCGAAACTCGCACGGGAATCAAAACCTACAGAGTACTTCCTGTGAACTTAGAATCTTGAAATTTGTTACGAAATAACGTCTTATAGTACAGATAAAGGAAAATTGCGAAAACCGTAAATTTTTAGTTACATCATATAATAAAAAATATTTTTGAAAATTTTAAAGTGACTACCTCTATTCTCATGAACGCGTAGAGGTATTAAATTGAGTTTGTACGACGTTTGTGGAACCCTCGCGGTGCGCGAGTCCGACTCGCACTTGGCCGGTTTTTTTTTACAAATTTCATATTTTTCATTTACTTAATACAAAGGTTATTGCATGCACTATCAGTAATTTTATTTTCATGAACCCCCCCCGATACTCAAACCTGACTACGCCCGTGGTTCAGGATTCTTGGTTTACTTAATTCAAATGTGACACCAAATAAAAACTGGCCACGCTCTATTCCGTAAAATAATTTGTTTTCGTCACAACTTAAAAAGTACAATATGAATCAGTTTTTTTTAACACACACCATTTAGCCTTGCCCCAAAGTAAGCACTGTAAGCTTGTGTTATGGGATACTACGGTAACGGATAGAATAAATATACTGATACATATGAAAGTATATTTATTTTGATATTCATATTAAACATCCATGACTGGAGTACAAATGCTAGTATCCATTACACAAAAATCTGCCCCCAACCGGGATTCGAACCCTCGACCTGGCAACCCTGGTACTGAATCCAAAAAAGGAATATTATTTAGAGATTTCTTAGTGAGAATTCTCACTCACATTATGTATCCACTAGTTTACATAATGCAAGATAATTTTTAATTTTCTTTATATTTTATCGCGGGAATGGAAATATGACCGGTGGTTGCTACGCATGTAGCTCCAAAGGTCTTGGGTTTTGAGGCTGGCAAAGGCATTTATTTGTTGACGAGCACAAATATTAATTTCAGAGCCATGGTTGTTATTTGTTATTGAATCATTTTTATTTAAGTCAATATTGTTTTATGTATATGAAAAACCTTAATATATATTCAACTGTATAGGCGTTCGTTTCCAATGTACGCACATTGTACATTTGTAACATAACCACACATTTAAAACGTCTTTTGAATTAAACTCGCATAAAATTACTCATATGAACAATGTAACAACTAACTTTAAAAAGTTCCTACTAATCAGATAAGTAATGAACTTTAAAAGAAGTAGTACTAGGTCGCTCACGAATCGTGGATGTTGACAAATTCTCAGTACCTACGAGCCAAATGTTGGTCGATCTGCGCTCACAACACAAAGTACCTATATTCTGCGAATTCGCAACAATTAATCTCTGCAAGCCAGTCTTGAGAATATTTTCCTCTTCCCCTTTGTTGCCATCTTGTGATTTATAGATAAGACAGGCTGGAACGTATCTACCTACATACCCAAGTCGCAAGTTTCAAATCCTCAAAGACCTTTTGTAGGCTTTTGATGGCAACCAAGCTGCGGTTTGTTTACACACCCAATACTATTATAAATGTGAAAGTTTGTATGTTTATAATATTTTTTACTCAATTATGCAAAAAACTACTGAACAGATTTGGCTGAAATATAGCACGCATATATATACATGTAGTTTATGACCTGGATTGAGACATAGGATACCTCTTTTCTTGGAAAATGTAAGGTTCCTGTGGGATTCTCTAAAAACTAAAGTTAACGCGGACGTAGACCTGGGCGGTCGCTAGTATTAAAAAAAGTGAAAAAGTTATACAATTCATTTTATGCAGACCAGCGCTGCCAGGGCCCGATAAGCAAAAGTAACAAATGATCTGATGATGATAAAAAGTAACTTAATTTCATCTTTTAAACTGCTGAATTCGGCATTAGTTAATGAAAAATATTTATTACATTCTTTAAAATAAATAGTAACGAAAAAGTTACGCTTGAATCGGATAAGGCGAAGGTCCCACAAGGCCAAAAGTAACGCAAAATATAACAAAATTATGCAGGCAGATGAAGACAAATAAGTATTATAATCAGTATACAAAAGTAAAACGTATATAAAAGACAACCGTTACTGACTGATCTAATACCGGATAGTTTAAACTACTAAACGAATTGCGTGCGCTAAGAAAGGATTTTCCAAAATTCACTCCCTAAAGGGTTAAAATGGAGGTTCAAAGTTTGTATGGCGCACCAAGATCACGAGGTTAATCCTTTAACAAAATCAAATCTAACGCGAGCGACGTCGGAGGCAGGAGCTGCTAATGTATATAATTGGATTTGCCTGGCAAGTGCAACACTATTATTTCCTACGCCTTGCAAATTCTGTTATTCAGTGTCAATAATAGTAGGGACATTGGAATGTTTTCTTAGATATCTGGATAACTTTTAAGATTATACCTAATGACTATCTAGTATAGGTTCTAAGCATTAGATTCAGCTCGCTATATAATTTCCCACAATTCCACATAAACAATAGAAATATTTGAATGTTTCATCAATTCTTGGAATGCATGTAATACAACTTTTTATAGATCTTGTTTCCAAGAATAAAAAACAGGTTACGAGATTCTTCTTTTCGCGCTTAAATCATGTTTTTTTTGTTGCATCCATTGTGACGATAAGGTTAGTTATTTTCGTACTGGGACTTTAAGACAAAGCCAATAAAAAAGTGTTTGAAATGAAATGAAAATACACTTTATTCAAGTTGACTTATAAAAAGCTCTTTCGAATCGTCCTTATAATTTTTGTCCTGTTCAGGACATCTTTTATCTGTCAAGAAGATCAAGCAAAATAAACTTCTCAGCTTTCTTCTTAGCATTCGCATAATAATATGCCATTACCAATACATGATTATAATAACATTTTTTATGTGTTACAAATTAAGAATATTTAATATTACATGCATTGTGAAAGATAACTTTAATGAGAAAAGGATGGTAATAGATGGTCTTTTTCATGGTCCATATGACATTACGATCGTTCAAATAATCTTTGATTTGATAATATCCTTTGCTCATTAGTATAATATTTACAGGAAGGAAAAATTAGGAAGATCGGTAATACTAGTAGGCAATTTATTATAAAAAGTTATGTATTTAGCCAATGATAAACTTTGTGTCTTTCTCAATCTAAACATTGAAATAGCAAGTTTATGTTTGTTTCTAGTATAACAGTTATAAATATCTTTCTCAATATTACTGTAATATTTATGTACATAAATCATGTTCTCACATATGTATTGTCCAGCTAGTATTAAGATGTTCATTTATTTAAACATATCTCTAAGGGAAACCCACCACCGTAAGTTGTATATGGCCCTAACTGCTCATTTCTGTAATATAAAAATTGATTCTATATTAGCAGCTTGATTCCATCACCAAGACGGCTGAGCCATTGATAGGACATACCTCACCATTAATATTTAAGAGTGTATCAACATGTCTGTCATTCAGTAAAGAAAATTTTATGAATTTAGTTGTCTTTGAGTTTTAGGTGAGTTTATTTAATGCAAACCATTGAAGTAAGTAACCAAACCAAAATAAGAAAACTAAAGAAGTATCATCTGCAAATAGCACTGTTTCACAAAAATGATTAGCTACATA